GTGCTGTGATGTCGGTTCTAGATTCAAATCAAATCAATTCAAATCATAGTTAGTGAAGAAGAGGACGGAGCACGCGTGAGAATGTCACGAGTGCAGTATGTCAATTCTTGATTGATTGTTTCATTTCATTCATTTTTGGTTATGCTTTCGACAATTGCAGAGAGAACAAAGTATTGATAAACCCTTTTCGCTGCCAGTCAACGACCTGTTTACAAATGGAGGAGATTTGATTGTTTGAATTTATTGTGAGCAGTTAAGTTTTTGTTTACCTTCTTTAAAAAGATTATTAATAACAATTATATATCGTTATCATTTACTTAGTGAATAAATCAGTCGCTGTTTTCACAGTGAAAGTTCGCTGCAGCAGCTGCTTTTTATAATTAAAAAAAAAATTTTTTTTACTTGATAACTCTTCACATGTAGTTAGTTGCATATCCCCTTCAGGCCGTCGAAGACCTGTCTCATCATTTATTAGCTATTTGCTTTTGTATAGTTTTTCTAAACAATTTGACGTTATCAGTGTAGTTTGCTATTGTTGCCTCAATGGTAGTGTGATTATACTACAGTAATAAGTAAAGAACCCGTTTCATGCCAGTGGTGTACCTGGCGTGTGATGGTAGACTGATATTTGTACAGACCAGTTGCCATTCAATTGGTGGTCAAAATGAACCTGGCCACTTTAACTTTCCAGCACTTTCCCTGATGAGTGACTTGGAATATATCGAGGCATCCCTCTTTTAAGCCATGTTGGCAAAATGTATGCCAAGATAATAGAAACAAGACTGAGACCAGTGATAGAACCACAGCTGGCAGAAGAACAGATGGGATTTAGGAGAAATAGAAGCTGCACAGATGCAATCTTCACACTTAAACAGTTAATAGAAAAGAACATTGAATACAATAAGAACTTTTTTGTGGCATTCGTAGACCAGGAGAAGGCATTTGACAGAGTCGACAGACAATTACTATGGAAAATAATGGCAAAATATGGAGTAAGCGAACACCTCATCGAAGTGTGCAAAAGTTTATACAGGGATTGTGTAGTTAGAATAAATCAGGGAACATCTCATCCTTTCACAGTGACATCTGGAGTAAGACAGGGGTGTGTCTTATCACCACTGCTGTTTATCACCTACATCGGCAGTATATGCAAGAATGCCAAGCTCATGAATGAAGATCTTAGTAAGATCAACAAATTACTCTTTGCAGATGACCAGGCCTTGATAGCAGATACAGCCATGAATGAAGAATGTAAAACAAATAATATGAGAATCAACACTGAAAAGACAGAAATAATGTCAATAGGAAAAAAGAAGACAGATCTAAACATAGCAATAGAATACAAAGACATTAAACAGGCATCTGAGTTTAAATATCTGGGAACTACATTTACCGAAGATGGAAAATTGGATAAAGAAATTGACATTAGATGCAGTAAAGCAAACCAAGTATTGGGACAGCTAGCCCCCCCTCTTACAGTATAAGACAATCCCAATCAGCACAAAGAGACATCTTATTCAAAGCATATTTATTCCAACTCTGTGCTACCAGTGCCAGACATGGTCACTCACAACAAACTATAAAAGAAAATTAGTAACCACGGAAATGAGATGTCTGAGAAGGGCTGTAGGGGTGACCATAAGAGATAAGATCAGGAATGAGATCATAAGAGAACAAGTCGGCACAGAACCAATTCTGGATTACATACAAAGACAGCAAGTGAAATGGTTTGCCCACTTAGAGAGAATACCTTGTGACACCATACCATACAAAGCATACATGGAAAGAGAAGAAGGACGTAGAGCACGGGGTAGACCAAGAACAAGATGGAAGGATAACATCAGAGAAACTCTACAACAGCACGATGTGCCTATGGTTAAGGCAGCCAGAAGAGCTAGAAACAGAACCTTATATCTCCCTCGACACCCACAGCAATAAAAGAGGAAGTGAAGAAGAAGAAGTGACTTGGAAGTCAAGGCTAGGTTGGGGGAGGAGGGGAGGGGGAAATGGAGAAAATCTGACTCAATGCAGATTTAAACCAAAACCGTCTAGCTCAGGAATCTCTAACTGGGGGACCCCATCATAGGGACCTGGGGAAGTTTCAAAAAAGGGGTTGGGGGTTGGGGGTTTAAGCAGTTTTGAAAATGAGTACATTTGTACTTGTAATAATCAGGAGTTTCAGCTTTAACAGTCATGAAAACAAAACAGTGTTGGCAGCTTGATACAGATAGTGATCTCTGCTGTGTCTCATCCAACATAAGATCAGAAGAAAAAAAAACCCGCCAAAAAACATACCAGTGGATATCATTGAGACAAAACGATGTCAGCTATCACTTTGATAAGTGAACACTAAATTACCAGTTGCTTGTCTTCTTCTTTGATCCTTCTGTCAGAAAATTTATATCAGGAGCCGGTAGCCTTTATGAAAGAATCTGGTGTGTGTATCCAGCTACCTTTCTTGGATACTAGACTGTATTATTGTTTTCGTCTCTTGTTGGTTTATGTCACTATTTGGTTGTAACATGTCACTGCCGCTTCAGACCAGTCTGTCCGCTATTTCATTGCCTTCCAAACCACAGTGACCTGGAATCCTCTGCAGTACTGATTGTTCTACCGAAGAACCTAAGTGAATCAGCTGTTCAAACTGAGTGTCTTTAGGGTTAACTATTGCTTGCAGAACTAACATAGCATCAGTCAGAAAGACCACTCTGCTATATTTGCTGTGCTGTTGTCCATTTAGGAAAGAATATGCCACCAGAAGTGCTTCTGCCTCTGCTCTGTAATTGGAAGAATATGAACCTGTTGGTACAGCCTGGTTGATTTTTAAACCATTTAGGCATTCTATGTATATTTCACCTCCTCCGTCTGTTTTTGAACTGGAAGGCAACAGAAAAATTCTTAGAATACTGTGCACTGAAAAGAAGAAAAAACACTGACATCCAAAATGATCTGAACATCGAGGAGAATTGGCTCATAAACAGCATCTTGTCTCAAAAGATGATGTATTTTGACCATGTTAAACCTCATGTTGGCCTGGAGAGAGCAAGGTGGTGGAGGGAACAGTTTCCAGAAAACAAGGCTGAGGCAGGAAAAGAAAGACTTTCAGGCGTGACAAGAGCAGCATGTTCTGTAAAGCGCCTACTGACTTATAAAGATGATGATTAATTTTCTTCATGTCTCGGCATCTGTCAGAAGATCTGAATTATTCATTTTGACCGTTCCAGAAATTGTAACGATTTTTCTTTGATTAATGTTCACAGTTTGATCACCCACTGTTCACAAACACAGCAGTGTCGACAAAATGGCAACTATTTGGGTGAGAGCAGAACCTTTCAGCTATGGGACGATTCCAGTTGCACCACATCCTAGGTTGAATAGCACAGTAAGTGAAATCTCTGTAACAAAACTTAGATGACAGTAAAGTAAAGGACCCTTTCCCACGCCTTCAAGCATATAGGACATACAGGGCTAGACCTATTGGCACTCGGTGGGGGATATGGTCAACATCATACCAGCCACCTTTGCTTCCCAGGACTTTACTTGGTGCCCATTTAAGGTTGTGCTGACCTGGGATCCGAGGTCATTAAAAAAAATGTCTGCGTCCATCAGGACCTCCAGATCTGGAAGCGAGCATAGATGACAGTTATTGTGGTTATACTTGAAAGAATGTTGTACAATTTGAGGTAGTGGGACAGGGTGGTTGGATGGCGATTAATATACAGTTTGTATAGACTTTATAATATCATGCGTAAAATATGTGACAGTTGGTGCACAGTTATTTCACAGTATACACACGATACTCCTTGTTATAGTTTCTACTCATTGTTACAATTATTCACCATCCACACATTTAAAAAAAAAATTATCCTAAAGATACTCATTGTTATAGATATTATCCTATCCGCTCAGTTTACTTCTGATTATCCTTAAGATACGTATCATTACAGTTATTTTCTCATCCACACTTTTAAAAAAAAATGTATTCTCAAGATATGCATTAAATTATTCCCCTGTCCACATTATGTATTGAAGATTATCCTAAATATACTTATTTCTACTGTTATTATCTCATTCACACAGTTTATTTCATAAAATCCTCAAAATGATCGTTGTTACAATTATCTCATTTACACAGTTTATTTAATTAATTCCTCCAATTATCTCATTTACACAGATGAATTCATAACCAATAAAATTGAACTCTTCTGCTTTATGAATATGAAGTATCATGGTAATTAGGTGGCTGATTAATTAGGTGGCTGATTAATTAGGTGGCTGATTAATTAGGTGGCTGATTAATTAGGTGGCTGATTAATTAGGTGACTGATTAATTAGGTGGCTGATTAATTAGGTGGCTGATTAATTAGGTGGCTGATTAATTAGGTGGCTGATTAATTAGGTGGCTGATTAATTAGGTGGCTAATTAATTAGGTGGCTGATTAATTAGGTGGCTGATCTTAAATTTCTGGTGTAGAGATGCACACTCTGACTTTGATTGAAGCAAAGAGGATTCACTTTTGTGATTCATTATATGTTGATTTTACTCTTTAGTAATACAACTGATGAGCTACAGTGAAATATGCCAGCCGGTAATTTGTGTAATGTTTCGTTTGTGTCAGCATTATTTAAAATTATTTTTGTGCCTAACATGTAACGAAGACGATCCTACAATTAACCGTGAACACTTAAAGTAATCCTCCTTCCCACACGCTTTCTTTCAGAATATTCGCAAGATAGTCATCTATTCCAAGAACAAAGGAAGTGCTGGATTCCCAAGACTGAGGTAACAAGTGTCGCATTTTGTAACAGATCTCAGATTAATAGAGTAAAAGTGGAAACATTGTGCTTTCAGTATAAATCCTTGCTGGTATCTAGACAGTATAAAATGTCAGCATCTCTAGCTTAAGAGTTGCAAATGCACTTCATAATTCTGAAAGAAAAACAAACACATTTTTTTAATCACATCATTAACTGATTAAAATAATGTCTGGTTCAATTTTTTTCAGTTATGCGATTTGGCAACACATTGCTTGCAACAAACTACATTTATCAGAGGAGCTGGCATGGATGTAAGTAACAGTTGTACACATTGCTTTCATGATAGTGATTCATCATCATCATCACCACCATCATCATTATGTGCCATGCTGATAAGGTAGGCAGTTATTGTTAAACACTCCACAGCGTCACCAGTATCAGATCAGTTCATCACATGTGGTTTCTTGGTCATGCTGAGGTGGGGGAGGGGAGAACAGACCCACTGTACTTTAACTCTTTTGGACTCAAGCAACGTATGATACCTCTTCTGCGAATCCATTCCAGCATGTCATATTTTCTCATACTTTCTACATTTGGTCTGAGCATGCTGCAAAATCTAGCTTGCCTGGTATTTAGCTTCTTTGAAAATAATAAATTAATGTTTTTCCTTGTGGTTATTTATACTGTTTAGGAGCCGCTCTTGTGTAGTAGTGAGACGCTCGCCTGTAGATCTGAAGGTCATGAGAGGAGAAAAAGACGAAGAATAAGTAAACTACAACACAATGTGTCAATCAATCTTCTGTGGGTGAATATCTTCCTTCCAGCACAACAGCAAATGATTAATAGCATCTTTATCCCCACTTTGTGTTATCAGTGCCAAACATGGACAGTGAATAGACCACTAGAACATAAAATAACCACATGTGAAATGTGCTTTCTCATAAGGTCTCTAACAACACGGGAAGGGACATACCAGCATTGGAAAGAAAGTTGGGATAAGACCATGTCTGGATTATATTGAATGCAACCAGACCAGGCTGCATATGAGACTTTTTATCTGGGAAGAAGGTGAGAGGAAGATCAAGAAAGAGGTGGATAAATGGTGTAGCAGAAACCTGCAAAAAGATGAACAAATCCATCACCCAAGCCACTCACAAAGTGAACAATGTGGAAAGTAGGGATAAAGATGCTATTAATCATTTGCTCTTTTGCTGGAAGGGACATGAAAAGGCAGATGTTGTCAAGGCCCTGTGGGAACAAGCAACAGAATCAGTAGAGAAAGAAGATTATTATGGCCTGGAGAGAATGAAGCACCTGGATGTAACCAGAGGGTGACCAAATTGTGACCAACCATCAGTATTGGAACTCTGCACTGGCTGCTGAAGATGAGGACGGAGCATACATGGGAATGCCCCGAGTGCTGTGATGTCAATTCGGGACTCAACTCAGCTGGGAGGGAGACATTTGGGTGTCTGAGCGGTGGGGCTAACTGGTTGGTGACAGCATTTGCCTTCTGTATTCTGGCTTCCATCTCTCTATCGAGTCTGCCATCCTCCGTAAATATGCTACCTAGATGTTTGAATTCTTGTACTTGTTTGATTAAAGTACCGTTAACATGAACGTTCATGTTATTATGTTTCCTGCCTGTCCTGATTATCTTACTGGCCTCTCTCTGTGTTTTATTGTTTCTCTTGCATGTCCTCATTTCCTAAATCCGTCTGTTTTCCTATTTCAGGATGGTTTGCTGAGTCTCTGTCTGCTCCTTCTCATGATGTCCTGAACATATTGCCTTCATCCTGGTCTTGTAACCGATGATTCCAGCAGCTGTCTAGACATTGCTCTTATTTCTTCACCTCTATTAAATTCATTCCGTTTAAAATAAATAGGTATATAGGTAGGTAGTTGCACTCCACCAGGACATCACACAAGCAATAAACACCCGGTGACACAGAGTCCCACCATTTGGAAAAGGATCATCCGTGGAGAGGTCCCAGAAACCCCTTTCAGTCGTTAGGCCATACTTATGGCTAGGCCATATCTATGCCTTGGCTATATTCAGGGCCCCTGGGAGAAGCCAGGGTGGGACTTTAAATAACAAAAAAATTGCATCCTACGTGGGGACGACTTTCAAAAAATAAAGAAAGAAAAGTACCCTTTTATATGCCTTCGGTCGTATTTGGCATTTACAGCCAGATCTATATTTTTAGCCAGATCTATATTTTATAGCCAGATCTATATTTTATAGCCTGATCAGCACTAAGTGGGCTATGTGTTCAATATCACGTTGGTCACCTTTACTTCCCAGGACTATATCTGAGAGCCGAGGTCATTTATTAAAAAAAAAATAAAAGTCTGGCTCCTTGAGGACCTGAATGCAAGGAGTTTCATTCTGCTCTAGCCGCCACACCACAGCGACTCCCTTCATCCCATTTAATGTTCAACGGTTTCCTTAAGCATTTATTCTTGAATGCATTTAAATTTAATTTTCCGTCTTTAGTGGTTTTCCAACTTTCTCTCACTTATATTAAAACTAAAATAATAATAGAATTAAAAATATATCACTTGTTTCAACATTATAGAACTTAACGTTCTTTATATTGTTCAGGTTTTTAAAAGCTGCCTTGCCTGTAGGTGTCATAATTTCTTACTTTGTGTTTCCTTGTCAATCAAAATGATGACCTAAATATGTAAACTAATCTGTTTTTCTAATTCTCCATGTCTCTAGCTTGATGTCTGCTTGACCTGTTATGGAGTCTTCAGTCTATTTCTCTTTTCATAAAGATGTATAGTCCAACTTTTGATGTTGTCTGTAATTGATTATATTGTATTTACAAGGTCATCTGTACATTGTTGAACCTCTGAACTGTGACAATTTCAATGCAGGTATTTCCGCACCTGCCAGTTCTTCACAGAAAACCTGTCACCTGCGGAGAACATGGAAAAAGATGAAAAACTTTCTGCTTGCAAAGACCAGAATGAGAGAAGTATAGTGTTTTTTGTGTGTGCTGCTAGTCTCGTGTGTATTTTACCTTGTGTGGCTTCCACAGCCTCATTTTGAAAGGCAGGGGTGGGGTAAATATTCCCACGGCCCCTTCACGAGCATGACACAGCCAGGTGAATTCTTCTTATAAGCATCCACGGCTGTTAACTCCGGTGGAAAGTTCTAGTTGTTTGTCCACTTCTGGACTTTAATCTTGTTCCAGAACTTTTCCCTCGAAGTCGGAGTTCATCTGCCGGAGAGGCGGGGAACGAGAACTGCAAACAAATAAGCCAGTAAAACGGATGTACACGCAAAACTCAGGTCAAGGTAAAAGCCAAAAGTCCATTTGGACGAACAACCGCGACGACCGCCGGAATTCACAGCCGTTGAACAAGAAGAAAAAGAAGAAGAAGTTCCAGAACTTATGCACATCCGTTTTACAGATCTGGCTTACTTGTATGCTGGCTTTTGGTTCCTTGCCTCTCTAGCAAATATGCTCCAACTTTGGTGACTATTTAAGAGTTTGTTGAAATTGGATGTCTTGGGCCGACAGGCGCACATATCGTGTAGCCTAATTTATTAAACCAGAACATAATGTGACGCTTTTTTCGGCAACACATCTGACTTCATTAACCACAACATAATGTGACACTTTTTTTTTCACAACACAGCCGATTTCATTAACCACAACATAATTGCCACCTTTTTTGGAACAACACATTCAGTTTCATAAACCACAACATAATGTGCCACCCGCCCTTTTAATGGTGAAGGCAAAAGGAGAAGATATTTACCTACTAACCAACCTGAGAAGATTAAAAAATTTACAAAGATTTCTAGGTGGACCCTACCTAAAAAGGGGTTCCATTAAATGTTCTAGTAAATAAAGGTGGCCAGTGTGATGCTGGTCACATCATCTGTCATGTGATGGTTAAATGTAAAAGGAAAGGACCCCTTTACACACCTTTAGGCATTTTGGGCATACAGAGCTAGAACTAAATTTTCTTGACCAGTCAGTGCTCAGTGGGTGATGTGGTCAGCATCATGCTGGCCGCCATAACTTCCCAGGACTTTTCCCTTTCCTTAAAATTTTCACACACATCTTGGCAGTAGAAGCTGATTCACATGATCGTGTATAAATATGTTTACCCACCGGGCTGAATTGCCAACACAGTTTTATTTAACTCCAAGGAGATGGAACTGCCCACACAGTTTTATCTCAAACCCCTCAAATATGGCCCCTGGTACTCCACAGAGGGTATTAACACCCCTGGCCCCCACCTGTGTTGGCAGTCTGCTCAGAAGTCATCGACCTGGCTGTTTTAAGATACCAGCTAAGTGATTTTGGGTATTTGTGTGGCATTGTTTGATTTGTGCATGTGCTGATGAAGGCTCCGCAATGTTTACCTTTTGTTTGTATTTGTTATATTGTGAAGCTTGCTAATATACTTTTCGTTTGGTTTTATATCTTTACTTGCAGATAAAGTCCTGAACCTGGAGTCTGTGAACCTGTACAAGTTTGTGCTGTTCCTCAGCCTGCAGCAGTTGTACAGGATGTCCCTGCGGACCTCTCTTGTTGCTGGCGATGAGTATCCTTGTTTTTGGTTATGTAAACAGCGGGAAACCCAGGTTTGAATCCTCAGTAAGGTTGGGGGGGGGGGGGCAAAGAAAAATCCCTATCTGCACTGACCACGCTGTCAGCTCTAGCCACAAAGCCCTAAATCCTCAGGCTCAAAGACCCCCACCCACCCACCCACACTGCAAAACTTGGTAAATACCGCAGTAGTGGCATTTTTTAAATAAAAGAAATAAATTTTGTAAAGATATACTCTGTAGCATTTAAAGTTAACTGGGTGGCCGATTATTCTGCGAATCCTTGGAAAAAGTGACTTTTAATTTTTAATCACTAAACTGTGTAATTAGCAGCTCCCAATCACACCCTAGGGAGCCGCCATGATGTAGCGGCTAGACATGCACCTGAAGGTCAGAAGGTCATGGGTTCAGGTGCTGATGAGCCGGACTGACTTTTTTTTCCTTTTTCAAAAATGACTTCGGCACCCAGGTCAACCTAACCTTATAGGGGTACCAGGTACAGTCCTGGGAAGTGAAGGCGGCCAGTTTGATGCTGACCACATCACCCACCGAGTGCTGATTGATCCTTGAATTATAGGTCTAGCCATTTACATTACTTGTCATTGCACCCGTTTATTTACTGGTTCAAAGATGTTGCTTTCCACACTGACCGAATTGGGGGGGGGGGAAGGGTGAATGACTTTGGCTGCCTATCTAATGAGGGTACCATGAAATATCCTGGGTGGCCAATGTGATGTTATGTTGACCACTTCACCTGCCAAGTGCCAGCTGCTTTAGTAAACATATTAGACAAGCATTATATGCCCGATGCATCAGTGGTGTGAGAAGGGTACAGCCAGTCATCTTGTGTGAGGCCTTAACAGTCATGTCTAGATGGCCCAGCTCGTCCAGCTCGGTAGCAACCTGTGAACTTGATGGCAGGTCAACTCCGAGAGGCGGAACAATGAAGGTAGTTTTATAATCTTGACTCATCTTGTCTTGCTTTGAATTTTCTTGCCTTATCGTACCTTATCTTGCCTTGTCTTATCTTGTGTTGCCTTATCTTGCCTATCTTGCCTTGCTTCATCTTACCTTATCTTGTCTCACCTTGTCTTATCTTAATTCATCTTGCTTTATTTTGTCTTATCTTGCCACATCTTGTTTTATCTTGCCTCTCTTGTTTTAATATTGTCTCATCTTGTCCATTGTCATGTTTTCTTATCTTGCCTCATCTTGTCTTATCTTGCCTCATCTTGTCTTAGCTTTCCTCATCTTGTCTTATAATGCCTCATTTTGTTTTGTCTTGCCTCATCTTGCATTACCTTGTCTTGCCTCATCTTGCATTACCTTGTCTTGCCTCATCTTGCCTTACCTTGTCTTGTCTCATCTTGCCTTACCTTGTCTTGCCTCATCTTGCCTTACCTTGTCTTGCCTCATCTTGTCTTACCTTGTCTGGCCTTTTTCTCTCATTACCAACCCAGACATAACCCCAGCCTGTCTGGATGCCCTGTGCTTGAACATGATGATGGTGATCGTTATTCCCCCAGCGGTCTTGCTGTTTGTGGGATTAACACCTCAAGGTGTAAGAATCAAACAACAGCAAATCCCACAAACCCTATGCAGCAGCATAACACAGGTATATTAGGGCACCTCTGTGGTTACAAAGCGGTCTGTAGACCATTGTGGCAATAGAAATTTAATGACTTCAGAAAATGACCTGGCGACATTCTTTCATACAGAGCCGGATTTAGACTTGATGAGGCCCCAAACTGTATAAAGCCCTGAGGCCCTTACATTTGTAATTACACCATATGTACGCCATTTAAATATATACGAATAATGGAAGCATATTATTATTTAATTTATACTTAAAGAAACATCCCTGTGTGGGTCCTGGGGCCCCATTGTGGGGAGAACCAGAATAGACCCACTGCCTTGCCAACAAACATGTCATAGAAGTAGACTAATTAAGAGCTTCTCGTCAAAGTCAGAGTGCATCTGCCTGAGCGGCAAGGAGCAACCAGCTGCACACAAATAAGCCAGTAAAACTGATGTACAAGCAACACTCAGGTTTGGCACAAAGTCCAAATGGATGAACAATCAGGATTTTCCGCCGAAGCTTACAACCGATCAACAAAGAAGGAGAAGAAAAAGAGATTTAAAGAAATAATAAAGAACATGTTTGCAAAATCATGAGAATTATAACATCCTCGGAAATGCTGTTAGTTTCAACTGAAAGCATTTTCCCTTCTTGATTTTCCAAATGCAAAATCACTGAAGATAGGAATTACTTTTAGGCCCCTGCAGATTGTGATGCCCTAAGCCGTAGCTTATTTATCTTATACCTAGAACCAGTACTGCTTTTATACCTCTCTACAGCCACTGAGTTTCAGCACCAGTGTTGTACACCTCGCTGAATACTGGTGGCCCCCCAACCTTTGCTTCTTAGGACATTTCCCTCTGCCTATTTTAGGCTTGGTCATCATGCAACCCTGAGTCTGCTTTGATACGGATTTAAATTCAAGACCTTTAGACCTGCAGTAAAGTTTCTAGCCACTGTGCTACCAAGAGGGAAAGGATGCACTCTGACTTTGAAGAAAGCCCCCAATTAGTCGACTCTAACAACAGGCTTGTTGGGCAGGTAGTGGGTCTGTTCCTGTTTTCCCCACAGTGGGGTCTAGGGACCCACACAGGGAACAAATAGATTTACTTTCACTTCAGTTAAGCTAGTGCAAAGCATAACATATAGCTTTTAAGAGTTCTCTTTTTGGTCTCAGTTGACAAAGAAAGGTTGCATAGAATATTCTTTATTTTGTAAAAATGCCGCCATAGCTTGAGCTATTCTACATTTAACATCCTCAATACCATTTGCTTCTGATGTTATCAGGGTACTCAAGGACTTAAAAGGAAGTATAGTAACAGTGAAGTAGGCCTCGTCCCGTTTATTGACCACCTCCGTTAGTTGACCAGTTTGCAACAGTCCCTTGGGTAGTCAGCTTAACAGCATTAAAAAAAAGTAAGAAGAATTAAAGGGCTGTAATAAGGGTAATACTGGTGGTAGTAAAAGGGTTATGTAGAACCTATATTGCTGTATGGTAGTGAATCATGGAATGTGACTGAGCTTATTACAAAGAACTTGGAGGTGTAGAGATGTAGTACCTCAGATGAATGTTGAAAAGCCCTTGGACTGCCAGAGTAACTAATGAGGATTGCTTGTGAGAAGCTGATAAAAAAAAAGATCAATATATACAGCTATAAGTTAAAGACAAGCACTGTCCTTTGGTCATGTGATGAGGGAGGAGGCTTTGGAGAGTATGATGACGACTGGGAAGATCAACAGGGAGAGGCAGACTGAAAGAGATGATGGCGGATGGATTGTGACGGTGGCATGGAGGAATATAATTGGGGGAACTGATCCAGAGCACAAGGGACAGATCTGTGGAGATGCATGAATGCCTGTGCCAGTCGACAGGGCACATGATGATGATTTATAGTAGCAGAGGTTGTAGCCATTCATGTATTAACAGTTGTAGTGTTTCCTGTTAGTTTTGTTCATATTTGTGTCCTTACGTTACCCAGCGTAATAATGTTTATACTTGTTATTTTCCGCAGTCCCTTGATGATCACAGTCATCATTTGTTTGTACAGAATAACATTGCAGAACTCACGGATCTCATCTCAGACGATGGTAACACTCATTTTATATCCTCCTCTTTCATTTTTTCATATGCTGGTTGGAAGATGGGCCCTTGACCAGAACCAACTCAGATCAGGCAGCAGTATTTATTGCTATATCTTGCAGCTGACTTGATTTATTAAAACAAAAAACAAAAACAAAATAAGGGAAGAGTAGAAGAAGAAGGGGAAGTCGAAGGAAAAGAAGAATGAGTTGAAGAAAAAATAATATTGTGGTTATTTTCTAATGTACTCAGTATCGTGTTGATAATTGATGGTTGTTTGTTTGATCACATTATTTCTCTTAAATTCTTATCTTTTTCTGTCCCTCATTGAAGCACAGATCCTCTGCCAACTCACAGCTTCTTACTCTTCTTCTTTTGTCCTACAGCTTGTGTCGTAAAGTGTCACAGGGAGAGATGTAGTTTCCTGTTGTCCTACTGCTTATGTCGTAAAGTGTCACAGAGAGAGAGATGTAGTTTCCTGTCTTTTCCCCTACTGCTTATGTCGTAAAGTGTCACAGAGAGAGAGATGTAGTTTCCTGTCTTTTCCCCTACTGCTTATGTCGTAAAGTGTCACAGAGCGGAGTTAGATGTAGTTTCCTGTCTTTTGTCCTTCTGCTGATGTCATAAAGAGGAGTTAGATGTAGTTTCCTGTCTTCTGTCCTACTGTTGATGTCGTAAGTAAAGCGGAGTTAGATGTAGTTTCCTGTCTTTTGTCCTACTATTGATGTCGTAAGTAAAGCGGAGTTAGATGTAGTTTCCTGTCTTTTGTCCTACTGTTGATGTCGTAAGTAAAGCGGAGTTAGATGTAGTTTCCTGTCTTTTGTCCTACTGCTGATGTCATAAAGAGGAGTTAGCTGTAGTTTCCTGTCTTTTGTCGTACTGCTTATGTTGTAAAGAGGAGTTAGATGTAGTTTCCTGTCTTTTGTCCTACTGTTTATGTCATAAAGTGTCACAGAGAGAGATGTAGTTTCCTGTCTTTTGTCCTACTGCTGATGTGTAAAAGAGGAGTTAGATGTAGTTTCCTGTCTTTTGTACTAGTGCTGATGTGTAAAAGAGGAGTTAGATGTAGTTTCCTGTCTTTTCTCCTACTGCTTATGTTGTAAAGTGTCACAGAGAGGAGTTTGATGTAGTTTCCTGTCTTTTGTCCTACTGCTTATGTCGTAAAGAATAGTTAGATGTAGTTTCCTGTCTTCTGATTGTTGCATAGCTTGCGTTAATGTCATATTAAGTACATAATGATGATGACAAGTCAGATCACGGTCTTGTTTGTATTCTAAGTTTCTCATAAATTACCCTCAATGTTCGCTCAGACACTAAAGTCACTGGTGCAGGAGTCGGAGGCCCTGTCACTAAGTATCTCAGCATGGACGCTGTTGAAGCTCTTGGTTTTGTTTTGGTTGGAAAAGTTGACAGTTCACCGTAAGTTTAAATTTACATAAATGTTTCTTGGCACCTCCTCCTCCTCCTTCTTCTCCTTCTTTTTTTTCTTCTTCTTCTTCTTCTTTCTTCTTCTTCTTCTTCTTCTTCTTCTTCTTCTTCTGCATTCACTTTTAAAAGGGCAGATGGTGAGTTAATTGTGGTTTAAAGCTAGGCTGCGATGTATGTACCTTTTGACCCAACTGATCTCATTTCAGAAAACTGCTAATTAGTTGCTTAAAATAACATACTTTCTAGAGAACTGTGGGTCTTTTTTCCCTTGCTCTCTCCAAAATGGGGCCACAAAACTCCCTTTTCCACATCTTTAGGCATATAGGGCATATAAGGCTAGACCTATATTTTTATAGACCAATTGGCACAAGATGGGTAATGTGGTCAGCATCCCGCCGGCCACCTTTACTTCTTGGGACTGCACCCAGTACCCTCTCAATGCTCGGTCTACCTGGAAATCAAGGTCATTTTTTAAAAAAAGTCCAGCTCCACCAGGGAGCGAATCCACTACCTTCCAATCTGCACGTGAGTTTCTAGCCGCGACGCCACGGCAACTCCCACATACATACATACATTATCTGCACACACAAACCAGATACATATTTTCATATATATGTTTATATACACAAACTCATATATACAACACACTCACGTATTAATAAGCACACTACACAAATTCACACATATATAGATTCTCTTGCATACACATACATACACTCATACTTACACACACATGCATGCATACCCACATGCAAACTCGCACATTTATATACTTATCAATACGCCATATATACACTTCCATACATACATATACTCATTCATATACAAATACAGATGTACTCACAAAAGCATATATACCCACACACACTCATACATATTCTCACACTTATACACTGTCATCATTCACAGTCATTTTCACACATCCACACTCTCATACAATCACACACGTTCTTGTCCTTGGCTGGATACGAAATACTTCTTCTCTTTCTTTTTCTCTGGTCAACTGAGGCTTTTTGAGAGCTATATAGTCAGTTGGTTTTCTGCATGTTCACTGACTGTTGTGTAAATGATTGCAGTTGTGATTGTTGTCTGAATAATTGCACCTCTCTGATTGTTGTTGGTCTGATTGTTGTTCTCTGATTGTTGTCTGAATGATTGCAACACTCTGATTGTTGTTGGTCTGATTGTTGTTTTCTGATGGTTGTTTAAATGATTGCACCTCTTTGACTGTTGTTGGTCTGATTGCTGTTTTCTTATTGTTGTCTGAATGATTGCACCTCTTTGACTGTTGTTGGTCTGATTGCAGTTCTCTGATTGTTGTCTAAATGATTGCACCTCTCTGATTGTTGTTGGTCTGATTGCAGTTCTCTGATTGTTGTCTAAATGATTGCACCTCTTTGATTGTTGTTGGTCTGATTGCAGTTTTCTGATTGTTGTCTAAATGATTGCACCTCTTTGATTGTTGTTGGTCTGATTGTTGTCTAAATGATTGCACCTCTCTGATTGTTGTTGGTCTGATTGCAGTTCTCTGATTGTTGTCTAAATGATTGCACCTCTTTGATTGTTGTTGGTCTGATTGTTGTCTAAATGATTGCACCTCTCTGATTGTTGTTGGTCTGATTGTTGTCTAAATGATTGCACCTCTCTGATTGTTGTTGGTCTGATTGTTGTTGGTCTGATTGTTGTCTAAATGATTGCACCTCTCTGATTGTTGTTGGTCTGATTGTTGTCTAAATGATTGCACCTCTCTGATTGTTGTTGGTCTGATTGTTGTCTAAATGATTGCACCTCTCTGATTGTTGTTGGTCTGATTGTTGTTGGTCTGATTGTTGTTGTCTGATTGTTGTTTTGAATGATTGCACCTCTCTGATTGTTGTTGGTCTGATTGCAGTTCTCTGATTGTTGTTGGTCTGATTGCAGTTCTCTGATTGTTGTCTAAATGATTGCACCTCTCTGATTGTTGTTGGTCTGATTGTTGTCTAAATGATTGCACCTCTCTGATTGTTGTTGGTCTGATTGTTGTCTAAATGATTGCACCTCTCTGATTGTTGTTGGTCTGATTGCAGTTCTCTGAATGATTGCTGTTTTCTGATTGTTGTTTAAATGATTGCAGTTCTTGAGTTATTGTCTGAAGATTGATATTCTTTGGTTATTATTTGAGTGATTGCAGTTTTGTGATTTTCATTTCAGTGATTTTAGTTTTGTGTTTAAAACTTTTTATTTGAATGATTGCAGTTCTCCAGTTATTGTCTGAAGATTGATGTTCTTTGATTGATATTTGAGTGACCTCACAGTTTTGTGATAATTATTTGAATGATTGGAGTTCTCTAGTTTTTGTCTGAAGACTGATGTTCTTTGATTGATATTTTAGTGACTTCACAGTTGTTGTGATGTTTATTTGAATGATTGCAGTTCCCTGATTCAGCTGCAAGACCTGGCATGCCTGCCAGCAGTCCAACACCAGAATGGCTATCAGAAGGTAAGTAATCATATCCTTCTGTTTTGTCTCCCCAGTGGCCATTGTGCTGAATGAGCTCACACCAAAGCAGATCCCATCGTTTGCCTTCCTTGTTCGGCTCACCCCACGTCTTCTTGTCCATTTTCAACCCCTCTTCTTCCAGTATTTTTTTCACCCTTTGTCTTCCAATCTTTTTTTACCCTGTGTCTTCCTAATCTTTTCTCGCCCCGTGTCTTCCCAATCTATTCTCATCTGGTGTCTTCCCAATCTTTTCTCACCTGGTGTCCTCCCAAACTTTTTTTTGTCACTCAGTGTCTTCCCAATCTTTTTTCATCAACCTACCCAATCTTTTTTTCACCCTGTGTCTTACCAGTCTTTTTTCACCCACTGTCTTCCCAATCTTTTTTCAACCTGTGTCTTCCCAATCTTTTTTCACCCTGTGTCTTCCCAATCTTCCCTCACCCGGTGTCCTCCCAATCTTTTTTTTTAACCCAGTGTCTTCCCATTCTTTTTTTTTAACTCAGTATCTTCCCAATCTTTTTTTTAAAACTCAGTGTCTTCCAAATCTTTTTTCACCCTGTGTCTTCCAGATCTTTTTTTCACCCGGTGTCTTCCCAATCTTTTCTTTACCCCATGTCCTCAAATTCTTTTTTTTTCACACAGTGTCCTCTCAATCTCTTTTCACCTTTTTAACTCAGTGTCTTTTCCCAATGTCCTTTTTTTTTCGCCCTATGTCCTTCTAATTCTTTTCACCCTATGTCCTCCCACTCTATCTTTTTCTTTTTACCTCAGTGTCTTTTCTACTCCAATCTTTTTCTTTTTTACCCATGTCCTTTTTGTCTTCCCAATCTTTTTTTTTTAACTTTTCCACCCCGTGTTCCACCACATGTCCACTCTTTCCACCACATGGATTTATATTTATTACGAGTCGGTAGGGCAGAGGTCTTCTCCCAAGCGGTCCGTTTTTGTAGGTCTTGGATGTTTGAGTGGCCCATGAGCCCGGTGTCTTCCCAGGGTTTTCCCTTGGTCTTCCACGAGATCTTTTCCCCTGTGGTGTCCAAATAAGGGCTTGGTAAGGAAGTCTTGATTTTATCATTCTAAGGGCGTGGCCGACATAGTTCCAGCGGCGTTTTTCGTCCTCCACATACTCTTTCTTGCCTTATTTGTCGGAAATCTGACCATTTGAAATTTTATTCACTAAGGCATTGTCAAAACTCCTAGTTTTCTTTTCATCCATAGGTTGTACTCACCAAGTCTTTTTTTGTGTGTTTGCACCTTTGATTTCCAGTCCAGTTTATTGAAGGCACTAGATGCCAGTCTTTTCACCCTGTATGTCCTTACTCCCTAGATAAGTGAAACTTTGACTTTTTTCACTGTTGTTTGTATGATATCAACTCCTGTTGGTAAGGTCTAATAATTTGGAGTCCAATTTGTTCTGAGAAATCACTTGGGCGTCTGTGTGTTCTGAACTCAGGAGTGCTATGTCATCGGCGAAGTCTAGGTCTTCCAGAATTTTGTCAACCCACTGTAATGCCTAAATTTTCTTGCGCATGACCCAGTCGATCAAGTTATCACAGCCTTGCTTCACTCCTGTTTCCACCCAGTCAGAATTGCCGGAATCAGTTCTTACACAGCATCTGTTGATATATTTGATGGGGAAACCATCCCATGTCAATTTTTGGGACGATGGATACTGTCGAAGGCTTTTTGAAAGTCTCAAGTCCAATAATTCGACTGGAATTCTGTAGAATCTTTTATTTTTATGCATGACCGCTTGGATCTAAAACCGGCTGTCTTCCCTAATCTTTCATCTATGGATTTTTTCAATCTTTCTAGTAGCATACTACAAAATAGTTTCCCTGGTATCGAAAGCAGGGTGATGCCTCTCCTTTTCAGTTGTTCTTGCAATCGGATAAATCACCTTTTTTAGGTAATTTGAAGATTACCCATCTTTCATTGTTGTGGCGGGTATTCGTTTTGCCACTTCCCATCAGTGGAGCAAATGTTGCATTTTCTTTTCACCACATGTTGTCCTCCGCATTCTTCTTTCCACCACATGTGTTCAATAATTTCAAATTATATAGGATTTGGCCTATTTAATATTTCCTTGTTGAATATATTATTATATATTATAAATACACAAAAAAACCTAGGGATTGACATTGAAAAGGCAAAGAAAATCCTACGGATCAACAGTGGAAAGGCAAAGAAAATTCTAACATTTGAATTCTTCTGCAGGCAACAAGAACATTTCTGACCAAGCCATTCACAACTTGGGTGAAAGACAACCTAATCCAGAACCCGTTCAGTGTGTCCGCCTGTATCGCATCGGGAACCAGACTCTCCTGGCCATTCATGGGTAGGAGACTTACCAGTCGTGTTGTCACTGTCTTCTCTCACACAGAGCATATTCATCCCCAGACAATGCTACCAGTGCCAGACATGTGGTCACTCACAACAAACCAGATCCCCGTGTGGGTTCTGCGATCCTGTTGTGGGGAAGACTAGAATAGACCCGTTGCCTCCACAACAAGCATGTCATACGAGTTAATTAATTGGGGGCTTCCTTAAAAAAGTCTGAGTGAATCTGTCTGGGAGGTAAGGAACCAACAATCTGCATACAAGTAAACAAGGTCTGTAAAACGGATGCCCACGCAAAATCCAGGTCCTGGAACAAAGCCGAAGTTCAGAAATGGACGAACAACCAGGTCTTTCCACTGGCGTTTACAGCCGGTGTACAAAAACAAACAACAACAACAAACCAGAAAATAAAATTAGTGATCATGGAAATGAGATGTCTGAGAAGAACTGTAGGAGTGACCAGAAGAGATCAAATCAGGAATGAGTTCATAAGAAAAAAAAGCACAGAACCAATTCTTAATTACATACAAAGGCAGCAAATCAAATGGTTTGACCAATTAGAATGTCTTGTGATACCATACCATTCAAGGCATACACCAAAAGCGGAAGTGAATGTGGACAATGAGGTAGACCAAGAACAAGATGGAAAGATAACAGATAAACCCTACAACAGCGGTTCTCAACCTGCCAGTCATGACCCTTTTGGAGTCAAATGACCCTTTTACAGGGGTCACCTAAGACCAAAAAACACATAGTCATTGATTTTGTGAAGGAAAATAATTGTTTAGGGGGTCGCCACAAGATGAGGGAACTGTATTAGAGGGTCGCGGCATTAGAAAGGTTGACAGCCACTGCTCTACAACAGCACGATGTGTCAGAGGTAAAGGTAGCCAGAAGAGCAGGAAGCAGAAACTTGTATCTCCCTCGACACCTGAAACAATAAACGAGGAAGTGAAGAACAAGTTGTTACTGTCTTCTTGGGGAACCACAGTCGAATAGTGGCTAGATGCTTCCCCTGCCAGCTCAGAGGTCTTGGGTTCAGATTCGCTTTAAACCAGGAAGGTTAACCCGGTCAACAAATGCCCGCAGAAGCCAGATGTGTTGGCCAAAAGGTGCAAATATCGCAGCCATGCTGTAAACGGACACAACGCAATTACATCTTCGGATGAACAAAGAAGAAGAAGATCTGTGTTATGGCAGATTTATTTTTATTCAAGTGACCTTTGCTCCCAGGTTGACACAGCCTAAACTCAGGGCCAGGAAGTGTCATGGGAAATAGAAGCAGCTGGTCTGATGTTGGCCACATCACCCACCAAGTGCCGATTGCTGTAGACAAAAAAATAAGTCTACAAGTAATAAAATGGATTGGTGGTAACTTCTCAATGTAATAACGTGGATTTGTGATAGTTTCTAGATGTAATAATGTGGAATTGTTATAGCTTTTAAATGTATTAAAATGGATTTATGATAGATTCTAGATTTAATCACATTGATTTGTTATAGTTCCTTTAAAGTAATAACATGAATTTGTGGTGTGGTAGTTTCTAAATATAAGAACATGGATTTATGTATCTTTTTTTTTTTAAGATGCAGTAACAAGAATGTGCATTATTTCTAGATGTAATAACATGTATTTATGTTAGTTTCTAGATGATATAACATGGATTTGTTTTAGTCGCCAGATGTAATGTCATGGATTTGTGGCAGTTTCTAAATGTGATGTTATGAATTTGTGGTAGTTTCTAGATGTAATGTCCTGGATTTGTGGTAGTTTCTAGGTGTTATTTCCTGGATTTGTGGTAGTTTCTAGATGTAATGTCCTAGGTTTGTAGTGGTAGTTTCTAGATGTAATATCATGGATTTGTGGCAGTTTTTAAATGTGATGTTATGAATTTGTGGTAATTTCTAGATGTAATGTCCTGGATTTGTGGTAGTTTCTAGATGTAATGTCCTGTATTTGTGGTAGTTTCTAGATGTAATGTGTGGATTTGTGGTAGTTTCTAGATGTAATGTCCTGGATTTGTGGTAGTTTCTAGTTGTAATGTCCTGGATTTGTGGTAGTTTCTAGATGTAATATCATGGATTTGTGGTATTTTCTAGATGTTATGTCCTGGGTTTGTGGTAGTTTCTAGATGTAATGTCCTGGATTTGTGGTAGTTTCTAGATGTAATGTCCTGGATTTGTGGTAGTTTCTAGATGTAATGTTCAGGATTGTGGTAGTTTCTAGATATAATGTCCTGGATTTGTGGCAGTTTCTAGATGTAAAAACATGGATTTGTTGTAGCAGGGGAGGATCAGAAATCAGAGCAGGGCCAGAAGCGGGGGAAAATAGCCACAAATGCTCAGTCTGTACCAAAAGAACACACAAAAGGGTGAGTATAGTTATCTCCTGAAATCTAGAAGGGTCTGCCTGTGTCTGATGCAAGATTATGTTATTAAGAGGAGGGTCTATGATCAAAATTGTAAATTTGGACCATTTTGGGTTTCTGTACATAATTCATAATTATCCATAGTAGAAAACAGTTGTGCAAAAGGCATTTTTTAAAGAAGGTGTTTTAAAGCTCTGTTTCTGCATTTGCTGAAGCAGGTTTAACTTATTTGTCTAAGTTTTAAAGCTCATAACCAGTTGTTGATGATTGTTTCTTTTGTTATTCAACACATGGATTTATGTGGATGTTTGTCTCCAAGTTCTTGTTGACAGTACTTTGAACAGTAGACCACTGCTCTGTAGGACATTACAAATGGGTAGAAGATGTCGAGCTTGACCTCCACTAGGATATAAAGACAAAAAACAAACGCAGCTCACAGTGTCACGCCATGCACTCAACTCAGAAGCTGGGCGACGAAACTACTGATATAAAGACATATGCAAGCAGGCCATGAATGATACATGTACTGAGGCGGATTAATGAGTGCCGGATGCCATAGAACACCTTACATAGAGATGGAAAAGCAGGAAGGAAATAGTGATACAGGGTAACATGTTTGCAGATAAATGAGAAGCTGATTGTCTGAGAAGAAAAACATTCAATACATGCGATAGCAGCAGTAGTCCTGATATTTATTGCAGAAAACTTTTCTGAATGTGGTCGAGTTTTTTTTATTGACACCCACCATCACCATAGGCTGTGATTTGTCTGCCTCTCTATAGAAGTTCTAACACTGTGGTCTGCAAAGATAGAAAGGTGCCAGTTAGTTAGTTAGTTAGTTAGTTAGTTAGTTAGTTAGTTAGTTAGTTAGTTAGTTAGTTAGTCTTTCCTCTTGAGCCTAGGGTGATGCAGAGGTCATAGCTCTCCATGTCTGGCGGTTTGTTGCCACCTGTTTTAGGTCATAGATGCTCATTAGGTCCATGGTTGAGCCTTCTCTGATGAAGGTTCTATGCAGGGTCTCTCTTGGTTTTCCCTGTTTTCTCTTCCCTCCCGGTGTCCATATGAGGGCTTGATGGGGGATCTTGCCTTATCGGTTCTGAGTGCATGGCTGATGTAGTTCCAAAGGTGCTTTCTTATAAAATTCATTACATTATCTTGCGTGGTCTCTTGTCTTATTAGCGAGATTCCATAAGTTTGTCTTCTTTCTAGTTTGGTTTGCGAGCCCCATTGTGGTGTAGCGGCTAGACACTCGCCTGCAGATCAGAAGGTTATGGGTTTGAATTTGAACGGAGCTGGACTTCTTCAGAAGTAAACTTGGCTGCCATGTTGACCCAGCCTTAAATAAGTGGCAGGAGAAGTCCTGGGAAGTAAGGGCAGCCAGTGTGATGTTGACCACATCACTCACTGAGTGCCGATTAGTCTGTAAAAAATACAGCTCTGGCCCTGTATGCCCAATATGCCTGAGGGTATGGAAAAGGGTCAATTTTACTTTACTAATTTGATTTATTACCAGTTTATCTTCTTGCCATTTTGATTTATTACCAGTTTATCTTCTTGCCATTTTGATTTATTACCAGTTTATCTTCTTGCCATTTTGATTTATTACCAGTTTATCTTCTTGCCATTTTAATTTATTACCAGTTTATCTTCTTGCCATTTTGATTTATTACCAGTTTATCTTCTTGCCATTTTGATTTATTACCAGTTTATCTTCTTGCCATTTTGATTTATTACCAGTTTATCTTCTTGCCATTTTGATTTATTACCAGTTTATCTTCTTGCCATTTTGATTTATTACCAGTTTATCTTCTTGCCATTTTGATTTATTACCAGTTTATCTTCTTGCCATTTTGATTTATTACCAGTTTATCTTCTTGCCATTTTGATTTATTACCAGTTTATCTTCTTGCCAGTTTGATTTATTACTAGTTTATCTTCTTGCCAATTTAATTTATTACCAGTTTATCGCCTTGCCATTTTGATTTATTTGCCAGTTTATATTCTTGCTATTTTTATTTATTACCGGTTAATTTTAAAAAAAATTAACAGTTTACTTTATTTTACTTTATCGCCAGTTTTATTAATTACCAGTCCATCTTATTGTGTTTTATTTATTACCAGTCTGTTTTATTGTGTTTGATTTATTCCAGTCTGTCTTGTTGCCAGTTTGATTTATTACCTGTTTATCTTATTGCCAGTTTGATTTTCTCAGTATATTTGTTCAAAGTTTACAATACTGCTTAAATGATTTATTCCCTGTTTATCTTATTGCCAGTTTCATTGATTACCTGTCTATCTTATTGCCTGTTTCATTGATTACCTGTCTGTCTTATTGCCTGTGTCATTGATTACCTGTCTGTCTTATTGCCAGTTTCATTGATTACCCGTCTGTCTTATTGCCTGTTTCATTGATTACCTGTCTGTCTTATTGCCTGTTTCATTGATTACCTGTCTGTCTTATTGCCAGTTTCATTGATTACCTGTCTGTCTTATTGCCTGTTTCATTGATTACCTGTCTGTCTTATTGCCAGTTTCATTGATTACCTGTCTGTCTTATTGCCTGTTTCATTGATTACCTGTCTGTCTTATTGCCTGTTTGCCTGATGTGTTTTTTTTTTTTTTCTGTCTCCTTGAACCAGGAACAAGATGATCATCATGAGCCAGGTTAGCAAGCAGACGATTGCCCGGGTAAGACTTCGGATCTCTGTACCATTCTTTTGCCACAATTCTTTAATTTGGGCGGTAACAATCCAGAGGGGTGGCGGTAGTAGCCATGGGTCAGACTGGGGTACAAAGTGTGGGGGGAATGACCCAATGGGTGGTAGTAATGAGAAACTTATGTAATTGCCGCTTCATTTGCTTTGTCTTGCAGAGGTTTCTGTGAAATTTGTGATTGCCGCTTCATTTGCTTTGTCTTGCAGAGGTTTCTGTGAAATTTGTGATTGCCGCTTCATTTGCTTTGTCTTGCAGAGGTTTCTGTGTGTCCGGTGTTTCCATTTTGTTTTTGACCTATGACTTTAGAAGTTACAGGATCGCCTTACCTAATCAACATGTGCTGATGGTGGTGGTGATGTTTGTTGTTGTCTTGTTCTTCCTCTCTTCTTCCTCATTTCTTCTTTTTCTTCTTCTTCTTCTTCTTCTTCTTCTTCTTCTTCTTCTTCTTCTTCTTCTTCTTCTTCTTCTTCTTCTTCTTCTTCTTCATTTCTTCTTTTTCTTCTTCTTCTTCTTCTTCTTCTTCTTCTTCTTCTTCTTCTTCTTCTTCTTCTTTTTCATTTCTTCTTTTTCTTCTTCTTCTTCTTCTTCTTCTTCTTCTTATAAACATAACATGCATTATTGATAACAGGCAATTGTGCTTTGAAAGATGAGTGCTTAGAAGGGCTTAATGTCACATGGGCCTGCTTGCCCAATTTGTAACCCTTTGAAAATAAAGTTTGTTTATTCGTTCTTTCTTCTTCTTCTTTTTCTTCTTTGTCTTTTTCTTTTCTTTTATTGTTGTTGTTGTTCTTCTTCTTCTTCTTCTTTTTTTTTAATTGTGTTGTTGTTCTTCTTCTTCTTTACTGAAAATCTGGCTTTATTTCAGAGTTCTGGGACACTGGAAATGAGTACAGTCAAAATTCATCGCAGCCATTATTCATTTTTGTACTTGCTTTCTCCACTCAGGTAAATACTTTCTCCCCCGAGTAAGTTATGTAATTCTTTTATATTTAGCTGTTGACTCATCTCCTCCACCTCAGATGAGATAATGTAATTTTCCATTTGAGTTCTTAGACCCCATTTTTGGTGGGGGGAGGGGGGGAATAGACCAACAGCCCCTGAAATAGGGTGTTTGGTGCTGAAATGCACAGATATCGTGGCCTTGCTGTATACAACACCACGTCCATTATTTTAACTTAAAACTATGTTCTCCTGTTGTAAATATAAATAATGCAGATACAAATAATGTGTGTACACAGTACATATACACAAACAATACATATACACAAAGAATACATTTACAAAAACAATACATACACACAAACAATACATACACACAAACAATATATGAACAGCAACTTGACAATGTGGTTTATGCATTTTAGCAAGAAAGAATTCATTGGGTGCTTCATTATATGTTGATTTAACTCTGTAGTTACACACCAGACAAGAGTGAAAAATGCCAGGCAATACATTGTGCAACATATTGTCTGTGTCCGGATTATTAAACTGTTATTTTAACCCCAAAATGGTTGAGGGAACCCCATATATGTTTTTCTTGCTAATCATGAAAGTGTTCTATCTATACTAAATCCTGTAATAGTTTTCTGGGTCTATCTTTAGGTCAGTAACTATCGAGAAAAGCAGAAACACCACTTTGATCCTCGGGCCAGTGGAGGCGACGGTTTATGTGAGTGGATGTGAAAACGTCACAATCATAGCACCATGTCGGAACTTTATGATCAGGTGGGTCGGTCTGTTGTATGCTTTTTTTTTTTTATTTATATTGATTTATTTTCTTATTATTACTTGTTCTGCCCTTTTTCCTCTGGTGCTCCCATTGGAGTATAAGCCTTAAGCCAGCTCACGCCAAATCATCTCATCGTTTGCTATTGTAGGTCTCTAACCCCCCTCTCCCCCTTTCCAAGGTCTCTAGTTGTTTTTTAAGGTTAACAACTTCTTCTTTTCCCGCTGATGTAACGACAGATGGCTCTCCTATGGTTTTCTTGTCTCGCAGCTCTAATTAGTTCACCCAGGGATGCAGTCTCTTTCAAGAAATTGAAAGCCTCAGAACGTTTACTCTCTCTTATGGCATTGATGATGTCAGTCATCTCCATAGATAGCCCCTTCTTGGTAGTCGTAACACCAGCCAGGGCATCTGCTCTCTCATTGCCTTTCACAGCAGCATGATCTCCAGTAATTAAAGGTCAAGGTTGTGGGCTGCAGTTATTATTTATTTGCCTGTCTCATGGATCCAGCAGAGACTGTAGGAAATACAGCTGCCTTTGACGAAAAGAGTTTAAGATTGCTGCTGTAGTTCCTCGTGTATTTCCAGGACCTCCTTGAGGGTGAATAAATCATAAACCTTCTGCTCCTAAACCCTTTCAGCCCTGGAGTACTTGAAAAAAGTAGGTTATTATCCCATTAGAATTGCAGAAAACACTCTGTTGAAACAAAATTTTTACACAGGCTAACTCATAAATTCATTTGAAAACAAAAAAGTCTTTGTCTAAAATTTACAGTCTTTTGTAAATATATAAAACAAAAATGTGAAAGGAGTCAACAGTAAACACAAACAGGGTGAAACAGTAAATGGAATTCGTTCTTTCGGACTTGAAAAAAAAAACGTGTTAGGTGACCCAAGCTGTGACCCTTGACCCTTATCACTGAGGCCTATGAGAGACTTCTTCTTCTTCTTTTGTTCGCATGAAATAAATTATCTATATCTGCATTGCTGTCTCTAGTATGAATTTCACTGTCTTTTGTAATTCACTAAGCGGCCCGTAAAGTTTGACTTCCACAAGTGTCTCTTTTGGCCAGAAGTTTTGCCTGGAAGTGTTGAATCTGGGACAGTCTTGGAGGATGTGATCTGTTGTCTCAGGTGCCAGTCCACAGGTATACATGGCTGATTGGCCAATCTTAAATTTGTTGTACATGTGGCAGCGAAGTCGATTATGCCCTGTTCTAAGGCGAAGGATAATGACTTGCTCTGGTCTGTCCATAATATGGTAATGGTCTTGTGCCAGTTTCGGTGGCATTCTGATTGATTTGATCATTCTCTTCTTCTGTTGATAAGAGACAGGTATGTCGGGTTGTTCTTCAGTTGCACTATGAGAAACTGTAGTCAGCGTGGTTTAAAAAAAAGTTATTCAACTCAAAGAAAAATCTCCCTAAATGCTATTGTTAGTTAATAGTTTCAAATCCGGAACTCCTAAACATTTGCACAGGCATGAAAACAGCCAATAGCATAAACTGTGTATCTCGTAAACAGGTTATTATAGAGAGGTTAGACAAGTCTTATGTATGTGGAATGAGGCTCAGCCAGATGTGTCAGTTTTTTAGCTTTAGGTGGCAAAAGCATTGACTTCTTCTTCTGCCTTTTTAGCCTCTGATGAAGCATAGGCACTCAAGCAACTCACATCAATCACTCTATCCTTCACTATCACATGCAACTCTCCTCATCTTTTTTAACTTCACTTTCTAGCTCCCTTCTCTATGTTTTTTTTTTGGGGCCTTCCTTTATTTCTGTGCGTCTGTGGATTCCATGGAAAGACATTATAGTTATATTCTCAGGTTTTCTCAGTATGTGTCCTATCCAACACCAGCGTCTTTTCTTCACTTTCAGGTCCACTGGAACTTGCTTAGGTCTCTTCCAAAGCTCTACATTAGTGATCTTATACCATTTAATTCCAAAAGGGCTTAACTAGCATGTTGTAAAAGGCGACTAATTAAGGATGTGCTAAAATCAGATGTTTTAGTCAAAAGGCACAGATATCACAGACTAGCTGTCAACTGCAACATAACGCACCAACCATACTTTTAAGGACAAACAGAGAAGAAGAAGCTAGTCTGACCGTCTTCATTTGTTTAATGTCCTCAGTGGCTCTACATTATGTACTTTGTATTTGATGACCCCCAACCGACCTTTGATCCTGAGTGGCAACGACACCATTATGCTGGCACCTTACCACACCTTCTACGCCACTTTGGAAGAGCATTTGTCCAGAGCAGGCATTGGTCCCTCACCAAATCTCTGGGACCAGCCTCTGTGCATAGGTAAAGACTTAGTTTCTGCTTTTTTTTTTTTTTCGTTTGTTAGGATTAGTCTCGTTTTTAAGTTTTATTATGTTTTCTTGTGGTGTGGATTATCCAGCAGAAAGTCTGGATTAAAGGTAAAGTCGGGAGATGTGAACCAGCATCATTGCACACGGTTATAAACCATAAGTGCTCTGCCACCAGTACGGACAGCTGATAAGAACTGTCCCCCTGTGTCGCCGTCCGCACGTAACTCCGTGGCTACAGCGACATTCCTCCATTTACCCCAGAGTGTCAACTCTGGTACCCATTTCCTAGAGGCTGGGTGAACCCCCGTAGCCGCCCGGTTTTGGACACCGACCCTGGGCTGCAGTGAGTCGCAGCTTAATTTGAAAGCAAGTCTCTTATCGACTGTGCTAATGCGGCTAAATTATATGTCCTGATTGTTCATCCATTTGGACTTTGGCTTTGTGCCAGGACCTGAGATTTGCGTGTACATCCATTTTTACTAGCTCATTTTGTGTGTAGCTGGTTGTTCCTTACTGCTCGGGAAGATTTACTCCAACCTCCAAGGAAGCTCCCAATTAGTTTACTCCTATGACATGCTTGTTGGGGAGGCAGTGGGTCTTTTCTTGTTTCCCCCAAAATGGAGCTCTGGAACCCACATTGGGAGGTTAGGGAGTTGGAAACCAGTTTTTATAATTCTGACCTCCTGGGCTCAATTCACCTTTTGGTTAGAGAGTTGGAAACCAGATTTTATCATTGTGACCTCCTGGGCTCAATTCACCTTTTGATTAGGGAGTTGGAAACCAGCTTTTATCATTTTGACCTCCTGGGTTTGATTCAGCTTTTGATTAGGGAGTTGGAAACCATGTTTTAAAATTTTGACCTCCTGGGTTCGATTCAGCTATTGGTTAGGGAGTTGGAAACCAGTTTTTATAATTTTGACCTCCTGGGTTCGATTCAGCTATTGGTTAGGGAGTTGGAAACCAGTTTTTATAATTCTGACCTCCTGGGTTCGACTCGGCTGCCAGCACTTTAGCAGCAGATAACTTTATGTTGATTTTCTTCTTTTTTATTATCATTCTTCTTCTTCTTAGCCTTCACGGGCTGGACACTCCAGCAGGAAGTCCTGGTCATTCATCTACTTCTGGACTTGGGTATTGTTCCAGAACTGGAGCTTTGCATGCAGTTTCTTTTTTCAGATCTGACTTATTTATATGCAGACTGTTGGTTCCTCACCTCTCAGGCAGATGGACTCAAACTTTGAAGGAAACCCCTCTTACTAGTTTTTTTAAAAATTTTACAACATACTTGTTGGGGGGTGGGGGAGCATTGGGACATTATTACCCCCCCCCCCCCCCAACACCCCATACAAATGGGCCCCCAGAACCCACACAGAGATGTTGTCAATGAAATGTAGTTCAAGACAATGCAGAATTTACAATTAATAACCAGGGAAAGGAGATGTCTGAGAAAATCTGCAGAAGTGGCCAGAAAAGGAAAAAAAGAAAAATCAGGAGCAAACTGAGATACAAATGGGCTGATAAAAGGGTGCCTGACCTGACCCCTGACAGTGGTGAAGGACAATGGGGCACAAAAAAGAACAAATCAGGAATAAGGTCAAAAGGAGCGACCTAGAATCTGTCCAGGTTCTTTGAATGTGTTCTTTCTATCACTGGTGCTGTAACTGTTATCTAGGGATGGTCTTGGGGATTACTATATTCAATTCATTCTGGCTTATCTGGGGGACTACAGTCTTTTAACTCATTCTGGCCTATCTAGGGGATTACAATCTTTTAACTCATTCTGGCCTATCTAAGGGATTTAAATCTTTCAACTCATTCTGGCCTATCTAAGGGATTACAGTCTTTCAACTCATTCTGGCCTATCTAAGGGATTACAATCTTTTAACTCTTTCTGGCCTATCTTGGGGATTACAGTCTTTTAACTCATTCTGGCCTATCTTGGGGATTACAGCCTTTCAACTCATTCTGGCCTATCTTGGGGATTACAGTCTTTTAACTCATTCTGGCCTATCTTGGGGATTACAGTCTTTTAACTCATTCTGGCCTATCTTGGGGATTACAATCTTTTAACTCATTCTGGCCTATCTAGGGGATTACAATCTTTTAACTCACTCTGGCCTATCTAGGGGATTCTTCTTCTTCTGCGTTGCTGCAGATATCACCCGCCTCCACTCATGTCTCTGGTTGGCTTTCTTCAGCATTCCGAGCCCTTGAGGTTCAGTGCTGCAGATATCACCCGCCTCCACTCATCTCTCTGGTTGGCTTTCTTCAGCATTCCGAGCCCTTGAGGTTCAGTGCGGCAGATATTACCCGCCTCCACTCATCTCTCTGGTTGGCTTTCTTCAGCATTCCGAGCCCTTGAGGTTCAGTGCTGCAGATATCACCCGCCTCCACTCATCTCTCTGGTTGGCTTTCTTCAGCATTCCGAGCCCTTGAGGTTCAGTGCTGCAGATATCACCCGCCTCCACTCATCTCTCTGGTTGGCTTTCTTCAGCATTCCGAGCCCTTGAGGTTCAGTGCTGCAGATATCACCCACCTCCACTCATCTCTCTGGTTGGCTTTCTTCAGCATTCCGAGCCCTTGAGGTTCAGTGCTGCAGATATCACCCGCCTCCACTCATCTCTCTGGTTGGCTTTCTTCAGCATTCCGAGCCCTTGAGGTTCAGTGCTGCAGATATCACCCGCCTTCACTCATCTCTCTGGTTGGCTTTCTTCAGCATTCCGAGCCCTTGAGGTTCAGTGCTGCAGATATCACCCACCTCCACTCATCTCTCTGGTTGGCTTTCTTCAGCATTCCGAGCCCTTGAGGTTCAGTGCTGCAGATATCACCCGCCTCCACTCATCTCTCTGGTTGGCTTTCTTCAGCATTCCGAGCCCTTGAGGTTCAGTGCTGCAGATATCACCCGCCTCCACTCATCTCTCTGGTTGGCTTTCTTCAGCATTCCGAGCCCTTGAGGTTCAGTGCTGCAGATATCACCCGCCTCCACTCATTGGTTAGCTTTCTCTTTCCAGTTAACAGCAAGTGTTTGCAGGTCTGTCTGGATTTTATCTCTCCATCATCTTCTTGGTCTGCCTCGTGGTCTATGACCGTTCAGCTCCCTTGTATGTACAGTTTTTACTTCTCTGTCATCTGACATTCTCTCAAAATGCCTCAACCATTTCAACCTATTATCTCTCATGATGCCAGTGATCAATGGTGATTGAAACAGATTATGAATGTTGTTGTTGTTTCTCACTCTCCATTCCCCCGCTGTTTGCATCTTTGTTAGTTCTGGGGAGATGACTAGGGGATTAAAGTCTTTCACCTCATTCTGACATATCTAGGGGATTAAAGTCCTTCACCTCATTCTGACATATCTAGGGGATTAGTCGTTGAACTCATTCTGGTCGCGAAAACCTGAATTTTTTTTTTTTATGTGCATTATCTCCTTGTGGGTTCCAGAGTCGCTTTTGGGTTGGGGGGGGGGGGGGAGGCTCTAACAAGATGTTGTAAACGATAACTAATTAGAGGTTTGCTGAGGTAAGATGCGATTGACCGAAAAGCAGATATCACAGTCTAGCTGTAAACCACAATGTACCAACCACCCCTTCAAGGGTTAATGCAGAAGAAGACAAAAGAAAGGTTTAATAATTAGGTTTCTTTTATTTCCTTTCATCAGGACCTGACCACAGAGATGAACAGCCAATCTGGCAAATTCTGCCAGAAGCCGAATTTTACCCATTCTCTGTGCCATTTGAAATGCAGGGCCCAACCAAGGTAAATATAATTTTTTTAAAGTCAATGTTTTTGTTAAGTGCTTTAGATTTGATCACATTGCTGTCCAAGCAGACTCTTAGATTCTCACTGTCTTTAACTTTTTCATCAGGCAGCAATTGGTATTGAGCAAGTTAGTCATTACATTTTACTGTAATTTTTAATATTAGATTGGTTAGTTTTGCTGCCTTTACCAGCCCACTCTTATGTTTAATGGCTCAGTTTTTCTGTAATGTTTCTGTTTGATGCCCTTTATGAACATCAGTGCCTGACAGGAACATCAGTGCCTGACATGAACATCAGAGCCTGACATGAACATCAGAGCCTGACAGGAATATCAGAGCCTGACATGAACATCAGAGCCTGACAGGAACATCAGAGCCTGACATGAACATCAGAGCCTGACAGGAACATCAGAGCCTGACAGGAACATCAGAACCTGACAGGAACATCAGAGCCTGACATGAACATCGATGCCTGACATGAACATTGATGCCTGACATGAACATTGATGCCTGACATGAACATTGATGCCTGACATGAACATTGATGCCTGACATGAACATTGATGCCTGACATGAACATCAGTGCCTGACATGAACATCAGTGCCTGACATGAACATCGATGCCTGACATGAACATCGATGCCTGACATGAACATTGATGCCTGACATGAACATTGATGCCTGACATGAACATCAGGGCCTGACATGAACATTGATGCCTGACATGAACATTGATGCCTGACATGAACATTGATACCTGACATGAACATTGATACCTGACATGAACATTGATGCCTGACATGAACATTGATACCTGACATGAACATTGATGCCTGACATGAACATTGATGCCTGACATGAACATTGATACCTGACATGAACATTGATGCCTGACATGAACATTGATGCCTGACATGAACATTGATGCCTGACATGAACATTGATGCCTGACATGAACATTGATGCCTGACATGAACATTGATGCCTGACATGAACATTGATCCTTGACATGAACATTGATCCTTGACATGAACATCAGTGCTGACATGAAGACTAATTACATTCATTATGTGACAGTCAATGCCTGACATGAACACTAACTCTCTTCATTATGTGACAGTCAATGCCTGACATGAACACTAACTCTCTTCATTATGTGACAGTCAATGCCTGACATGAACACTAACTCTCTTCATTATGTGACAGTCAATGCCTGACATGAACACTAACTCTCTTCATTCTGTGACAGTCAATGCCTGACATGAACACTAACTCTCTTCATTATGTGACAGTCGATGCCTGACATGAACACTAACTCTCTTCATTCTGTGACAGTCAATGCCTGACATGAACACTAACTCTCTTCATTCTGTGACAGTCAATGCCTGACATGAACACTAACTCTTCATTATGTGACAGTCGATGCCTGACATGAACACTAACTGTCTTCATTATGTGACAGTTGATGCCTGACATGAACACAAACTCTCTTCATTATGTGACAGTCAATGCCTGACATGAACACTAACTCTCTTCATTATGTGACAGTCAATGCCTGACATGAACACAAACTCTCTTCATTATGTGACAGTCGATGCCTGACATGAACACTAACTCTCTTCATTCTGTGACAGTCAATGCCTGACATGAACATCAGTGCTGACATGAACACTAACTCTCTTCATTCTGTGACAGTCAATGCCTGACATGAACATCAGTGCTGACATGAACACAAACTCTCTTCATTATGTGACAGTCGATGCCTGACATGAACACTAACTCTCTTCATTCTGTGACAGTCAATGCCTGACATGAACATCAGTGCTGACATGAACACAAACTCTCTTCATTATGTGACAGTCAATGCCTGACATGAACATCAGTGCTGACATGAACACTAACTCTCTTCATTCTGTGACAGTCAATGCCTGACATGAACATCAGTGCTGACATGAACACAAACTCTCTTCATTATGTGACAGTCGATGCCTGAAATGAACACTAACTCTCTTCATTCTGTGACAGTCAATGCCTGACATGAACACAAACTCTCTTCATTATGTGACAGTCGATGCCTGACATGAACACTAACTCTCTTCATTCTGTGACAGTCAATGCCTGACATGAACACTAACTCTCTTCATTATTTGACAGTCGATGCCTGACATCAACACTAACTCTCTTCATTCTGTGACAGTCGATTCCTGGTGGTCTCCCTGCCTACTACCAGAAGGAGATCAGCAAGCGACAGAAACAGATTGACTCCTGGCAACATATGGTGAAGGATGCGGGGCTGACACGAGAGCAGCGGAAGGAGTTCCAGACACTTGTGGAATCTAGGTTTCATGTAAGCGTTGTGTGATTATGTATGGGTCTGTATGTATCTGTAAATTGATATATATAAACACACACACACACACACACACACACATATATATATATATATATATATATATATATATATATATATATATATATATATATATATATATATATATATATATATATATATATATATTATCCAGATATCTATATATATATATATATATATATATATATATATATATATATATATATATTTATCCAGATATCTATATATACATATATCCAGATATCTATATATACATATATATATGCACACACACACGCGCATATATATATATATATCCAGATATATACACATATATATATATATATATATATATATATATATATATATATATATATATATATATATATATATATATATATATATATATATATATATATATATATATATATATATATATATATATATATATATATATATATATATATATATATATATATATATATATATATATATGGCGGTGGCTGTATGTGTTCTTTTTTTTCTTCTTCGCGTACACCAGCTGTAATCTCTGGCGGAGAGTTGTGGTTGTTTGTCCACTTCTGGATATTAGTCTCGCTCCAGACCTTGAGTTTTGCACGCACATACATTTTACAGGTAGGACATTTGTATGTAGAGGCACTCAGACTTTAAAGGGAACAACCCTGATGAGTAGATCCCATTTTGGGTCCATCCTTGTTTTCTCCAGTGTGTCCCCCCCCCCCCCCCACCCCCACCTAGGATCTGCACAGGAAAGAAGACAATCTTCTTCTTCATCTACTTCTTCTTCTTCTGCACTTTGCACTTGCCCTTAAAAGGGCAGTTGGAATGTTGTGTTATGGTTTACAGCTAGGCTGCAGTATCTTGACTTTTCTAACCAACATATCTTATTTCAGCAGCTTCTACTTAGTGGCTTTTTGGGACATGCTTCTTAGGGTCGGTGGGTCTTTCTCATGCAACCCCCCCCCCCCCCTTTCCCGCACAAAGTAGACCCCAGAACCTTACAAAAGGAGAAAGAAGAAAACAGTCTATATTCTTTGGGCACATCAAGAGAAGGGGAAAACTGAAGTACATGGTAACAACAGAAATAATTAGCGGCTAAATGCTCACCTACAGATCAGAATGTTGTAGGTTCAGTTCCTGGTGGGGCGAGACTTTTTTTTTAAAAATGACCTTGACTCCCAGGTTGACCAGCCTGGAGTGGGTACTAGGTACAGTCCTGGGAAGTAAAGGTGCCCAGCATGGTGCTGATCACATCACCCACCAAGTGCCGCTTGGTCTATAAAATATAGGTCTAGCCCTAAATACCCAATGAAAGGCGTGGAAAGGGGTCCTTCTAGAATGGGGGAATAAGGAGTTAGGAGTGGATCTGGCAAGGGTGGGTCTATGTGAGAGAAAGAGAATGATGAGTGTGTAAGCAGTGTCCTATGAGAAACATTTAACATGACCACCCCAGGACATTTGCTGGGAGAGACGGAGCATCTGTGGGTGTGCCTGGTGTGCTATGATGTCCAGTCTTAAATCTGTAATTAGGAAAACAACAGAAAAGCATGCTTAATTAGCAGGTGCTGCACTGAATGAATGACTGACTGAATGAATGACTGACTGAATGAATGACTGACTGAATGAATGAATGACTGACTGAATTACTGACTGAATGAATGAATGACTGACTGAATGAATGAATGAATGAATGACTGACTGAATGAATGACTGAATGAATGACTGACTGAATGAATGACTGACTGAATGAATGACTGACTGACTGAATGACTGAATGACTGACTGAATGACTAACTGAATGACTGACTGACATTTAAACACCAACAGGACATCACGCTGAGCGACAAACACCCGGTGACACAAAGTGCCACCATTCAGATGAGGATCACCGGGGACAGGTCCCAGAAACCCTGTTCAACCCATAGGTTTGGCCATATTAGTTCCCCTGATAGCAGCCAGGGTGGGACTTTAAACAACAAAAATTGCGTCCACCATTGCGACAGAGATGATATTGCTGCACCGAATGTTGCAGGTAGTCCAGAAGTATGTGGCATTTGAACCTAAAAAATATGACACCACACAACTCCTTCTTGTAGGCAGAAGAAAACGTGGAAGAAGTCATCTTTTTTTTTTCTGTTTTGTTTTAGAATCAGACTATCGCATATACTTTTCTTTATTTCTTTTTCCATTTCTAGATCTGGTTGTCAGAAACTGGACACAAGAGAGAGCTGGATAGTCTCGTAGTACCACTACAGAGTGTCTTAGAAAAGAAATAGATAAATAATGTTACAACTAAAGGTACTTTCTGTTATCCAAGACACAGAAGTATGATTAAAAGTACTTTCTGTTGTCCAACACACAATAAAGTATATGATTAAAAGTACTTTCTGTTATCCAACACAAAATGGTACTTGAGTAACCTAAGGGGAGTAGATAGTATGTTGGATAAGAGATAAATAAGTGTACGAGTAGAAATATTTATTGTGAGGGATAAAAGATGGATATATGCACAAGTAGAGGCATTTATTGTGATGGATTAAAGATAGATATATGTACAAGTAGAGACATTTATTGTGATGGATAAAAGATCGATATATGTACAAGTAGAGACATTTATTGTGATGGATAAAAGATCGTTATATGTACAAGTAGAGACATTTATTGTGATGGATAAAAAATAGATATATGTACAAGTAGAGACATTTATTGTGATTGATAAAAGATAGATATATGTACAAGTAGAGACATTTATTGTGATGGATAAAAGATCGTTATATGTACAAGAAGAGACATTTATTGTGCTGGATAAATGATAGATACATGTACAAGTAGAGACATTTATTGTGATGGATAAAAGATCGTTATATGTACAAGTAGAGACATTTATTGTGATGGATAAATGATAAATATATGTACAAGTAGAGACATTTATTGTGATGGATAAATGATAGATATATGTACAAGTAGAGACATTTATTGTGATGAATAAAAGATCGATATATGTACAAGTAAAGACATTTATTGTGATGGATAAATGATAGATATATGTACAAGTAGAGACATTTATTGTGATGGATTAAAGATCGATATATGTACAAGTAGAGACATTTATTGTGATGGATAAAAGATCGATATATGTACAAGTAGAGACATTTATTGTGATGGATAAAAGATCGATATATGTACAAGTAGAGACATTTATTGTGATGGATAAAAGATCGATATATGTACAAGTAGAGACATTTATTGTGATGGATTAAAGATAGATATATGTACAAGTAGAGACATTTATTGTGATGGATAAATGATAAATATATGTACAAGTAGAAACATTTATTGTGATGGATAAAAGATAGATATATGTACTAGTAGAGACATTTATTGTGATGGATAAAAGATAGATATATGTACAAGAAGAGACATTTATTGTGATGGATAAAAGATCGTTATATGTACAAGTAGAGACATTTATTGTGATGGATAAAAGATAGATATATGTACAAGTAGAGACATTTATTGTGATGGATAAAAGATAGATATATGTACAAGTAGAGACATTTATTGTGATGAATAAAAGATAGATATTTGTACAAGTAGAGACATTTATTGTGATGGATAAAAGATAGATATATGTACAAGTAGAGACATTTATTGTGATGGATAAATTATAAATATATGTACAAGTAGAAACATTTATTGTGATGGATAAAAGATAGATATATGTACAAGTAGAGACATTTATTGTGATGGATAAAAGATAGATATATGTACAAGTAGTGACATTTATTGTGATGGATAAAAGATAGATATATGTACAAGAAGAGACATTAATTGTGATGGATAAAAGATAGATATATGTACAAGTAGAGACATTTATTGTGATGGATAAAAGATAGATACATGTACAAGTAGAGACATTTATTGTGATGGATAAAAGATCGTTATATGTACAAGTAGAGACATTTATTGTGATGGATAAAAGATCGTTATATGTCCAAGTAGAGACATTTATTGTGATGGATAAAAGATAGATATATGTACAAGTAGAGACATTTATTGTGATGAATAAAAGATAGATATATGTACAAGTAGAGACATTTATTGTGATGGATAAAAGATCGATATATGTACAAGTAGAGACATTTATTGTGATCGATAAATGATAAATATATGTACAAGTAGAAACATTTATTGTGATGGATAAAAGATAGATATATGTACAGGTATATGTATTTATTGTGATAGATAGAACATAGATATATGTACAAGTAAAGACGTTTATTGTGATGGATAAATGATAGATATATGTACAAGTATAGGTATTTATATACAAAGCATATATGGAAAGAGAAGAAGGTCGTAGAGCAAGAGGTAGACCAAGAACAAGATGGAAGGATAACATCAGAGAAGCTCTACAACAGCACGATGTGCCTATGGTCGGGGCGGCCAGAAGAGCCAGAAACAGAACTTTATATCTCCCTCGACACCCACAGCGGTAAAAGAGGAAGTGAAGAAGAAGAAGATAGGTATTTATTGTGATGGATCAAAAGATTAAAGAGATGGATATGTGTACAAGTTACAGTATCTAATGTGTTGGATAAGAGATAGCTATGTGTACAAGATAAGGTACCTAATGTCTTGGATGAGAGATGAAAGTGTGTACAAGTTAAAGTACCTCATATGTTGGATGAGAGACAGATGTGTGTACAAGTTAAAGTACCTTATGTCGTGGATAAGAGAGGGATATGTGTACAAGTTAAAGTACTTAATGTGTTGGATAAGAGATGGATATGTGTACAAGTTAAATTACCTAATGTTTTTGATGAGAGATGGATATGTATACAAGTTAAAGTACTTAATTTGGTGGATAAGAGTTGGATGTTTGAAAAGTTAAAGTACCTAATGTGTTTGATGAGAGATAGATATGTGTACAGGTTAAAGTATTCAGTGTCGTAGATAAGAGAGGGATATGTGTACAAGTTAAAGTACTTAATGTGTTTTATGAGAGATGAATATGTGTACAAGTTAAAGTATTCAATGTTGTAGATAAGAGAGGGATATGTGTACAAGTTAAAGTACTTATTGTGTTTGATGAGAGATGGATATGTGAACCAGTTAGAGCAATTAACCCCTCAAGTGGGTAATTTGCACACATCTGACTATTTACTCAAGGCTATTATTTTTCTGACTGTACTAGAGTTAGAGTTTAGTGTTCTGGAAGTAGAAGTTTAAATCTCATTTTCATTAATTTCTTTCCTGAAGTAGGGAGTATTAACCATATTTTGTTAACTAACCCTTGTAAGATTCCTTCGTGTTTGTAATGAGATGATGTAAAGTATGTGGGGATATCTGGTGAACATGTTCTATTTTTCATTAACCCTTTCACTCTGTTTCACTCTGAGAAGCCGCAAAACTGAAACGTCCAGTTAGGCTCAGTTTCCTGTAAATATCACTTTACCGACTTGCCTATAATGAATGAGCTGTTTGCGAGATGCATAGTTCAGGCTGTTGGCTGTTTTCATAAATTATTCTAACAACAGACTGCATATGTGGGAGTCGCCGTGGCGAAGCGGCTAGACGCTCAACCTGCGGATCGGAAGGTCGTGGGTTTGCTTCCTGGCAGAGCCTGACTTTTTTCAAAAATAACTTTGGCTCCAAGGTCAACCCAGCCTTGAGTGGGTACCAGATGTAGTCATGGGAAGTAAAAGCGGCCAGCATGATGCTGACCACATCTTGTGCCGATTGGTCTATAAAATATAGGTCTAGCCCTATATGCCCTACACGCCTGAAAGGTGTGGAAAAGGGTCCTTTACTTTTACTTTATGTTGCATTTGTGGAAAACTTCTTTTCTAGTCTTGCATTGCCTGTCAGGTATCAGTGTCAGGTTCTGGAGAGGCATCCAGTGAAAGCTTTGGTACGTGCTACATTCATGCTCATATTTCTGTCCTGAGATATTCCGTCTATCCATTGTTTGCTTGGTTGACCTCTGGCTCGGCTTCCATTACGTCTAAGTGACAGGGCTCTCTGTGGTTCACTGTCTGATGGTAGTCTTGATGCATTTCCAGACTGTTTGATCTGTTGTCTCTTGATGTAGTTTAAAACTCATTACATTCCCAACTTCTTTCCTGATATTGTCATTTTTTTATCCTGTCTTTTCTAGTTACATTTAAGATTCATGTGATAAAACGACCCCAAAAAAATCCACAAAGATAAAAACTAGATACACATAAGGTCAGATCAGGAACTTGTAACAAGGAATCCTGTTCAAAATGACAACAAAATCTCAACAAAATAGAGCTGCCCAACACCAGGCTGATTATAATATACATACATGTAATATTCAAGAGTTGCTGTGGCGTAGTAGCTAGATGCCCACCTGCGGATCGGAAGGTCGTGGGTTCGCTCCCAGGTGGAGCCAGACTTTTTTCAAAAATGACCTTGGCTGCCAGGTCGGCCCAGCCTTGAATGGCAAAGTGAATGCAAGATGAATTTGTTTTAGGAAAATACAGTCATAATTAGGGTAACGATTATTTTGTTTATGACCAATGGAAACTGATCAGTTTAAACAGTTATCTGTTGGTGTATTTATCATGAACATTTGATCAAACTGATTTACATTTGATCAAACTATGTATTTCATGAATTGATTTGTTGTGTGAATTAAGTAAACATGATCAAACTATGTATTTAGTTATTTGTTGAGATTTTCCTAACCTAACACAATCTCATGAATGTGAATTGTTTTCTGTTGTGTGAATTAAGTAAACATGATCAAACTATGTATTTAGTTATTTGTTGAGATTTTCCTAACCCAACACAATCTCATAAATCTGAAAAGTTATCTGTTGTGTGAATTGAGTGAACATATGATCAAACTATGAATTTAGTTATTTGTTGAGATTTTCCTAACTCAACACAATCTCATAAATCTGAAAAGTTATCTGTTGTGTGAATTAAGTGAACATATGATCAAACTATGTATTGTTGAGATTTCCTAACCCAACACAATCTCATGAATCTGAATAGTTATCTGTTGTGTGAATCATGAACATATGATCAAACTATGAATTTAGTCATTTGTTGAGATTTTCCTAACTCAACACAATCTCATGAATCTGAATAGTTATCTGTTGTGTGAATTAAGTGAACATATGATCAAACTATGTATTTAGTTATTTGTTGAGGTTTTCCTAACCCAACACAATCTCATGAATCTGAATAGTTATCTGTTGGTGTATTTATCATAAACATATGATCAAACTATGAATTTAGTTAT